GAAAATTGATCTGAACACTTCTACACAGTCTTCTTGTTTATCAATCCATGTTACTTTAAATTTTTAAATTAGGGCTCATGAAAAATTATAGTTTTTCTAAGGCATTTTCTAAAGAAATAACTGAGAAATCATTAAGATCTTGCAGAATTTATGCGCATTATTATGTTAGAAGCTATCTAGCTGCTAATTGAAAATGTTTTCTTTCGTTTTGTTTGCTTCCGTTACATCTATATTCATCAATAGTCAATCCATTACTAATTAATAGTAAAGCATAACTTTTTCATGAATAAACAATCAAGATTTTTCGTCTTTTACAACTTTTCCTACGGATGAGATACAAATTTCTAGGCTTTGATTCAGAATTATTTTTTTATCTTTAGATAACTGCATATTTATTGTAGTCTCCTATGATCTATTTATTATTACAACTGCTTATATACGAACGATCAGTGAAAAACGTTATTTTTCTCTCTCTCTGTTTTAATGTTCATTTCAAACAACTAGCACCGATCAATAAGGAAAAACAGAAAAAATTCGATTCATTTGAAATGAAGATGATCTATTAGTTAGTAACATGTAATTCACCTTTTAATTTAACGTTTTTTGTATGGTCTGTTTCTTCTTCCATATCTTTCTAAGTTAAATAAGCACGACTCCAAATTTTTTCAATTTATTCACAATAACATAGAGTATTAGATCTCAAAAGTAAATTTCATGTTTTAAGATTTTCATACCATAGCTAAAGTACTCACCAATTAAAATGTTAGAAGTTTTTTCTTTTTTGTCATGATCGGATATTGTTCATTGAGGTGCACGGGAAGAAGCAATCTTTCAAATGCAAAATAGTTACCAATATTAAAATTCTAGGTTTCTCTCTTAAGATATCTGAAAATAATGTTATCTTGATCTTCTTCATAAAATGTTTGGTTTTTGCATTTGAAATACACTTTTTCTTATGTAACTTCGGGAGTTCTACTCAACTATAAGAAAAATAGAAAAAATTCTGCTAAAGCTTTATTTGTGAGTATTTAATATACGATGTAAAAATCCTGGAATTCGAGTATCTTGATTTAAGCATGGCAACAGAACCCTATAATTTTATTTTCTTAGCTTAATGATGAAAGTTGTAATTATATCCTAATATATCTAACCATATTAACTAAAAATAGAAACACGTCCATCACAGGACAAAAATTCAAAAACTAACTATTTTAATTTCTCATATGAAAATCTTTCCGGCATATGATAAGTTATGTGTTAGACTTTTCCCACATCTTGTGCTTGAATCCTAGCTCTCTGAGATTAGACGTTGAATATTATTTGTTTTTTATTGTTAGCAATGATTGATCTATAACTTATTTTATTATTCTATTGATTACTTTTCGATTTAAAGTTTCCATAGAAATTCTTTCCATCAATCATGATCTGAGGAGATTGTCAAAAAAAGCTTTGTTTTATTATGTTCCTGGAGATTGTTGTTAGTGAATTACAATATGAACTCAGTCGAATTGGTCTTGTTACACAATCATTCTCAACTTTTGTCGAATAACGGGATATGATAAATGATCACAAGAGAAAGAGTAATGCTAGTGCATTTTGAGAGTCGATTTCGCTTCACTTTTCAGCATCAGTTTCTAGCCATCTATTTTTGTTTGTCTATATCTGCATGTATCACACCATAGATATGTACTAATTCCAGTCTGTTCTCTATATTCCCGTACGTAGATAAGATTTTCATCGTCAAACCATTTAATAAAAGGGACAAGCACAGCCAAAGTCCAAAGATTTTTGTTACAATCATTTACAAGAATATCGTCAAACACTCATTAATCTATGATTTATACAGGAAGTGAACTTATTGGAGGAAGAATCGATTCAGAAAATAAAAGAAAGCAGCAGAAGAATGTAGATAAATATTGATTGAACAGAATATGCAACATTATAGTGAAATGAAAAATATATTATCTCAATTAACTGATGAGTTAAAGAAGATTCGTGAAGAAAATGAATTTGATGGAATCAATATAGATCGCTCAGGAAAAGAAATGAAATCAAACGAAGTTAATAGAAGATTCAAATCCGATTGATTCTGCACATTTAGCAAACATCAGTTGCATCCATTTATTGTCTGGTAAGTGTTGACATATAGATTGATAAATTAGTTTTGCTACAGGAACACGAAACTTTTTCAGGAGACTTGACTAAAAACTCCCTATAGAGAACTACTGTGTTTTTATTCATCAACATTACAAAATCATATAGTATTAGTAATCTTTTACTAGAGAGATCATGTATTAACAGTACGATGATTTCATTCGAATTTTTCTCCATAAAGTCTTTTTGAAAAATAAATTTTACTAGTTGCTTTATTATTTTGACCTAAGATTACTTATATATGTTCTAACTTGTTAGAAAATAACTCGTTATCAATCCCATAAATGTATTAGAACTGAAAGAGCAGTTATTGTTCACATATGAATCCTCGTTTTACACATAAATACGAAGGATTATTATTGATTGAATTCGAATAAAATATGTTTCGAATATTCTTTACTACTTGTACTTTCCCGTATATCTGTTTGCTGGCAAACATTTGAAGCAAAGATTGAAATCTAATTTGATTGTATGACTTTTCTTACAAGCAAGAGTCGTACGAAATTAGTTTTGCGACAGTTAAGTGATTCTAATGCCTACAAACTACATTATGATAAATCAAAAGGTTTGTTTCTCCTTAATTCTACTTTCACTAAGATCACCAAACATTAACAGATATCTCTGTAAGTCTGAGTGAGTCCCCATAAAATTATTTAGAGACCTTTGACTTGACTTTGACAGAAAAATCACATGATACGTATTCAGTAGCATGAGTCGAATCATTCGTATCACTTGTTCACAATAGTCGTAATTAATTCTTTTCGAGAAACACTCATCAATACCATTAATATCTCTTCAATGCATAGCTTTTTTCCTTATTGTATAAATGGTAACGAAATCGGTTTTCTGAGAGCTTGTTCGAACCTCTGTGCTGCGCAAGTGTCAGTGAGGCATGCATCCAAGAGTAAACTCGCATTCCTATTCATGTCGATACTGTTAGTAATGACACACAAGCGTTTTCAAATTTCTTTCTGTCATATCAATCATTAGGAACACAGTAATGATAATGTTAATGCACACGTCAGTTGCAAAATCGCCATCGATTGAAGTTTCTATTAGTATAATTTTGCTGTTTATATGAATCAAATAAAATTTTCTATTTTTTCGGAGGCAATACAGTGATAGTTATGTATTTTGATAGAGTGAGAATAATCGTTTGTCAAGTGTGTAGTTTAGATGCTTAAATATTTGAAAATTTATCAATAGTTTAAAAAAGTATGGCATATTTAATGAAACTATTTTCCTCTGTTTTAAAGAACATAACACTAATAGCAAGACTGAAAAATACTTCAAGAATTTTCTGAGCTACACGATGAACCTGATGGAATTGGTAATGAACGTTATGTTACTTTGAGTTCAGATGTTGAGAATCGTAGTATTGAATTGTTGTCGTCAAAACAACAGAAACTATGTACAAATTAAAACAACAAAGTTATAGAATACCTCGAGGAAAACAAAAAAAATCGTTATGATCTCCATAGAACAATGCAATATTTATTGGAAAGCGAATCAGTTCAGCTGCTCATCGTAAGATAAAACTCAATAAATATGAAAAGTTTGCTTGTATTTGTCTTCAAGATACACGAAGCAAAAATAACGAACACAGTGCTGATTTGATGTCGTCCCCAAACAATTGCAAATCATCGGTGTCTGACGAATCTCGGACGAGTACAACGTTTCATAAATCATCATCTATACTTCTACATTGAAAAACAATTTGTTCAAGACAAATCATTGAGCTTCATACAGAGGACAATTCATATCCGGTGTTCGTGGTAAGATAATTTTAAATAAGTAGGAAGAACCATAGTTTTTATTTAGTTGCTAGATAATCATAGTACTCGTCTTGGAAATGATAGCAAAAGTAAGTATATTCAGGTTATATATATAGTATGTGTTATTTGTTTAGTCTTTCAGATAGCATGGCGATAGTTTCTATAATTCTGATGTCAAAAAAAAAAAAAAAATAACAACCGAGTAAGTCTATATTTAGTTTTTAAAAAGAAAAATTCAATCATTCATATAGGTTTCTAATGATATTTTCAATTAACGTAAATGTATATAAGAATTAAGATAGAAAAATAATCGAAGTCATTTTTTCTATAGCTGATGATCATCCAATTAAATATTATCTTCCATTACCTTCATTGACAAATACAGATGATATATTTATTAAAGCAATAAGAAAGGATGAAGACTTTGGAAATATCCCTAGAATACAAATTTGTTATCTACCATTAGGCAATATAGTATTCTTATTTTATTTTTAATGTTTAGTTCAACAATAACTTTTTTTATATTTCATTAGACAAAGTCAAACCAATTGAATTAAAATGAAGAAGCTAGTGTTGACACACAAATTGTATCAAACACTCGTCTTGCTCACTTTGAAGGTTTCAATAACGAAGTGATTTATTGGTTTTGTGCTCAAATTGGATGTAATAGATCAGTAAGTTTTATTTTTTGCCGGCTATTCGTCCTTTACTTGAATGTCATGCCGATGTATTATCTAATAGAGAACATCCGTCATCACCACTTTGCCTTATTATATCACCTACATACCAACATGTTTTACAAACAGAAGATGAAGCAAGAAAAATCACATATCGAACTGCTGTGGTACCATGTAAGTGACTTCATAAACGTACAGCGAGAATATGTATTCTTGTAAAATGTCCAGCTGATTATTATTTGCACCTATATCGCATTGCTGCTGATGGTCATAATATGTTTACTGGATCGGATCGTCTTCAAGACGTTGTGGGAAAAGTCCAAGTAAAATTATAATTCAGTGGATTGTATTCAAAGTTTTACAGGATTCTTTATTTCAGTTTCACTAAAAACAAATGAAATTTCTCGTTATAGATGAAACTAACCGGTATGTAAAAACGACACCGATGGTGTTGAACCTAATTTTGATTACGGTTTTTTTTGTTTTTCTAAAGAATTTTAGATAAAGAATTGGAACTTGATATACGAAAATTAGAAAGTCTTGGTTTATCATCACAAGAAGAACGTGTCCCATGGATATTTTTCTCAACATTTTCTAACCAATTACAGCAATTAGCAAAACATGTCCTTCGTGAAGATTATATTTTTTCTATGAGAGTGCAAATGTCGATGTAGCACATACAATCGAAGAAGTACCATTTACAAAGAAACAGGATCTGAACGTTGTTTGATTTTGTTAAAACACAACGATCAGCTGATACTATTTGTGCATTACTTTTACAAAAAAGTCTCATAAGTGTAATAATTCATGAAAATCAAACACACCAACAATGAAATGAAACTGTAGAACAATTTACAAATGGTCTTATTGATTTTGTTGTTCATTATGATTTACTGGATACAAGTGATATTTATATTCGTCGTATTGGTCGAACAAGTAGAATGAATTATAAGAAAAAGGAGAAATCGTTTTGAAAATTTCTTTTTTTGCATAGATCATGCTGGTTAATTGGAGAAATCTATATGATTTTTTGATTCCGATCGATAGTCTGACAGAAAAATTGCTCTTGAATTTACACTAAAATTATGCCAAGTATATTTTGTTCTCTAAATCGAATATGAATTTTCAATTGATTTCTTTCAATAGGATGGCCAAGCAACATTAGAATTTCTTAAAAAATATGGTGATGTGGGTACTATTGGATTTTATCATGATGACCATAGGTCGACGAATAGTAATGTAATACTGTTAGTGTGGATGTGTGGGATAAGACATACACCTACACTCCGACCCACACCCACCGTCTGTTGAGTAATTAAACTAAGAAGTATTTTTAATAGATTTTAGATCAACATTGTTGCTGAAAATTTTGAGCGCGAGGAAAGATTTTTAAGGATCTTGCGTCATGTTCAATATGTTCTTCATATTTAGCCAATAGACATTAAAGCAAGGCTAAAATTTTGGATATATAGATAGATTTTATATGCTCTTTTATATCATATTATCGAAAAGATGTAAAGCAAAATTTTTCAGAGGAAATGATTCCTCGATCGAGTAATAGATTGTCTCTTAAAATAACTTTGAGAAATTTATGAAATTCTTATGAACCATCCACAATAATCAATCGTTACCGTGTCTTCATTAAAAGTATAACTCATAAACATAGTTATTGCTTTTTTGTCTTTACTATCCAGGGGAGTAACTCTTTGTGGTTGTTACTCAACATTTTCTTCAATAACAACTTAGAAAAAATTCTTTTGTTTGTTTTTAAAATGTGATTACTGTGCTTCAAATAAAATGATTCAGAATGGATAAAAGAGAGAAGAAAAATAAATTTGCATTTGTACATGAGAGTCACAACAAAAAACACATATATAAATTATCGGCTAGAAGTAAGAATATTTAGAGAAAATAATTGTAGAAAAATGCGTTCAATAGAACATTTGATTTCCGCAAATAGTAACCTTGTTTGAAGTAGACATTATCAAACTCTATTCAATCATTAAGATAAGATTTATCTTGTTTTATATGTCAATTTGGCAAAACATTATTTCTATTGAATATGAGAATAATATTTTTCTTCACTCAATTCATATACCACACTCACAAGTTAGTGTTCAAAAATTGTAAATAAAGAAAAGAAACTATTCTTTTTACAAAATTTGACAAGTATGACACTGATGTACCATCATGAGTAGCTAGAGTCATTGAATCATCATGAAAAGGTGTCGAAAGAGAGATTAGAATTTTTTTCATTGAAATAAGATCTATTCGAACCATATTTTCATACTAAGATGTTCGTGAACCAAAAGTTGCATAAATTGGAGTTTGCAAATCATGAAGTAGCGCTATAAAAAAAATTAAAAGTTGATTAATTAATTTATTAGCAATATAGACTATAAAAATAACACAAACGTTGCTGGTATATTTCTATTCGATTAGCCATACTTGTTTGATATTGGAATAAAGCTTGATTTTGCATGTTGATACTGATATATTTATTATAAAATATTTTTCTCTTCATCAACAATGTAATCATTTGCCTCATTTGTAAGTTTTCAATTCGATACTTGTTTTAGTGTAAATATGACTCTCAATTATTGATTTTACAAAATGTTAAAATTTATTAATATTTATTAATTTGAGTTCATTTTCTAATTGATTATTTAAATAAAAATAATTCATATTAATTTATTGATCAATTAGATGAATGTAGTCTTTTTTTATCTTTTTTAGTAAAATTTTATATTAATTATTCAAATATTTTGATTTATTTTAATATAAATTTCAATGATCAATATTCTTTAGTAGAAAAATTTTCAATAACAAATGAACATATTTTTTCCCCAGCCAATATCAATTAAGAGCCTTATCTTGACAAATATAATAATTGTCAATCACATGGATTATTATCTAAGTGAACAATTGTTTTTATAAAAGAATCTTTTTATTGAATTAAGGTTGAACCTAAAACAACTCTTAGTCAATTTTTTTTATCAAAGTAAAAACTTTTATAATTAACAGATCTATTTTAGTGAACTTTTATGTGGATAATCTCTAGAAAGCTTTTATTTATTTAAAAAAAACAAACATGACGAAGAGAGTTTTAGATTTCTTTCAAGCAAGTCTGATAAAGAACATTCTTTCATTATTGACATTTATTTGTTCTTTTCTAAAGCACAGAGTAATAGGCGTTTGCATGAAAAAAAAACAAGATATACTACAACTTGACTTTGTCATATAGCATTAAGAAAATTTTGTACTCCCTTATCAATGATTTGATTTGAGGAAAAGTTTCATTTGATGAGTGTCTAGATAAAAGACATGAAAAAGATCAGGTGAGGAAAACAAAATTATTGATTGTTCAAATTTATTCTAGACTATTTAGTAAGAATAAGGCTACTTCACTACCGAATTCAGTTTAGAAATGATCTTTTTTTAGTAACAGTTTCTTCTCATTCATACTGATAAATAAATATGTTAATCAAATTAAGGGGAAATAAACTGATTTACAGTGACTTCTAACAATATAAATCAATTTGCTAACAGATAAAAACTTTTCACACATAATGATATTGACTTCTTTTTAGATAAATATTATTCTGTTGCTTTTTTTGAAATATTTGATCTTTCAATAAGATAATAAATTTGTTTTACTAAAATAATAATCAATGTATTATTGCAAAAGGAAAATAATCTTACAAAAATTTGAAATAATTTTTTCCTTCGAATAAATAAATTTCATTTATTTTAACATAATTAAGTCGTGTGTCATCTCTGATATAAAGAAGAATATTAGTATGAAAATATGTTTTTGTATTAAATAAAAATTCTTCTATATAATTATCATGAAATTTTGAAATATCAACTGTAATAAGATAATTATATTTAACAATTGATGAATTTTCATTATGATTTATTGATTTATAAAGTTGTTTATGTTTTTGTGATTGATGATAAATCATAGTGGAAATGATTAAGAAATTCGAATAAAAATTTCATACTCAAAAGAATGCTCACCATATAATGATAGTAAACGAACATATAGAAATAATTCACCTGGAAAATAATGTGTTATCTTTTGATAATATTGCATTTACGTCGAAATTTTTCAATTACATGTACTATTGAAAATAAATGTAATAGTACTATAACCTATGAATGAAATAGAAAGTGGTACCTTACCAAAACAGCAATGCTACATCAATTAAAAATTTTTACTCTTCGTTGTAAGTATAAAGCAACTGATAAGATCTTAAATAACACGTGTTTTTTAGGTCCATCGGCGAATTGAAATGAACCTTGTATAACAGAGATACAATTCGATAAAATTCAATAGCAGACGATATTCGTTTACATGTTCAACATATACAGATAAAATAGATTATTTGATCTTTCTCTTAGTCATTTATAAACATATTTACCAACATCTATTCAAGTTTGATTTGATCTTTTTCAGTCTAATCGATTATTATCTATTTGGTTTTAGATCAAAAATACAACAGGTTCAGTTTATGATCTTAAAAGATGTCCTTCAACAAATATACTTGATACACCTACGTTTTATTCAACAGTTCGTCACTCATTATCGTGAACAGTATCTGTACAATTGTATAGTTTTTCATCAACTTGTTGTGCTTTGGGATGGCATTCAAAACGAGATGATATTTTTATATATGATAAAGATGAACTTATCTTATACAATGTTAATGGTACTTTATTAAGTAATTAGTTTTTTATTTTTATTGTTTTTTTTTAAATACTTTAATAAGATATAAATACTACGATTAAAAAAATTCATGGTACTCAATCAAATCATCTTATTTCTTTGACTTATATTGTACAAGATAAAAGTATTTTTATTTGTTGTCATGATTCAAAAGAAATTATATGACAATATGTTTCATTAACAAAATAGAATTTAATAAAAATTTGGTCAAAAGAAAACTTAGTTAATAAAGATGATACTGGTAAAATATAATAAATCATAAATTGATTTTTATTTAATTTTGATTATTACTATTCTAGATATTCAATATGTTCGTGTTAATCTATCTGGTTCACAACTTGATCTTGTTATTAAAAATAAAAACGTTCAATTTCGTTTTGTTCTTTATCCAATGGATTTAACTCATATATGTTGCAATTCTAATTATTCCTTCATTATTACGATTAAAAGAAAATCAAAATATTAATTTTATACTTTATTTAACATCATTTATTGATGATCATTGGTAGTTACTTATTTATGGAAATGGAATTCATAAACATTTTCTTTAACGTGTTGTTTGAAAGAATGCATAAATAAAAACTTTTCGAACAATAATCAATGACCATAATATAAGACAAGAAGGAGAAGGCCGAGATACATAATTCATCGAAAATGCTAAGTTTTGGGATAAATCAGAATGCTACTAAGTTTTTTTGATAATTAAAAAGATGATAACACTTATTAGAAACAAAGCAAAAAAGTATTAGTGCATTTGCTGTTTAAATAGTATATCAAATCATTAAATATATATATATATATCAGAAACTTGTATCCTTTTACTTAGGGTGTACCAAAAGTTCTGATCATCATATTTAAAAGACTTTTTCGATAAGGTTTCCTATTCAAAAATGAGAAACCAAATACACCATGTTGTAGAGTTTTTCGAGATGCATCGAGTAGTATATAGTAAATTCTATTTTCATAAGACTCTGAAAGAATTAGAATCAATTTACTGATAGACGACTACATATCCACATGCATCCATACTAGCACCTATACTCAACAATGATAAATTAATGAATATTGTTGTCCTTGCTATTAATCAAAAATATTTGTAAAATGCCTTTTCTCACATATGACTTTGTAGAACTTTTAAAGGACTGCAATCTCATATGCGTAGCATCTCCGATCATCTTGTGGATGTGAATATGGATGGATGCATGTGTGAATGTGTAGTCGCCTATCAGTAAATTGATTCTAATTCTTTCAGAGTCTTATGAAAATAGAATTTACTACATACCATTAGATGCATCTCGAAAAACTCTACAACATAGTATACTTGGTTTTAGAGTCCTGCAACGGGGTCGGGTACCCGGCACCCGACCGGACCCGAAACTGTGGTCCGGGTACAAATTTGCCGGGTCGGTTCGGGTGCCGGGTATAAAAAAAAATGCCGGGTCGGGTGCAGGATTTGAGCATACCCGGTACCCGACCGGTAGTCGATGACATCTTAACAAGTAAAAGTATTTTACACTCTATGATAGAGTCCTGCAACGGGGCCGGATACCCGGCACCCGATCGGACCCGGAACTGTGGTCCGGGTACAAATTGTTACTTGATGAAATTAAAATAATAGTATATTTTGCCATATGAAATAAAAGTTTGAAAAGTGAATATAATTTTGACAATAACAATCAAGTGCTGACTATTTCAAGGCTGGGCCGGGTCCGGTCGGGTACCGGGTAGAGCTATCCGGGTCCGGTTCAGTTCCGGGTGGAAGATGACCGGGTCCGGTCGGATTCCGGGTTTGAAAAAAATGAGCCGGGCCGGGTTCGGGTGCGAAAAGTAGTACCCGTGCAGGACTCTACTTGGTTTCTCATTTTTGAATAGGACGCCTTATCGAAAGAGTCTTTTAAACATGGTGATCAGAACTTTTGGTACACCCTAAGTAACTACTTAAAATCTAATCTAATTGTATGAAAAATTAAAATTCAATATTATCAAATTTTGATTTCGACAACTTGATATTTGAACGAATGTCGTATTTAGAATTTAAGAAATTATTTAAAAAGTCAAATTGTAAAAAGAATACAAACGAAATTTACACAAAATTTTCTACCTGTTAAAATCAGAATGAATTATTTTGATACAATCTAACTAAAACAACAGAAAATTGAATCTGTGACGTTTATTGTCTCATTATATCGAGTCAAAGATACAGCTTAGAGTATTAGAATTTTAATATCTTATAGTTTTCATTATCTCAAGCATTCAAAAACATTGTTCTCTAAATGGAAAGGACGATGTATGGTGTAAAAAAAAATAACGATCACTTAAATTAGTATTCATAATTGTCATTTAGCTTTATTCCAAAAAACAAAAGTTATCAAATATGTTAAAAAGATGAGATTCATGTGAGCACAAAAGGATAATTAATGATTATCGTAAAAAATTTCATTTTTGACTCTTATAAACGTTACATTGACGTATGAAGTTAATGAATAGAAATAACACCACCATTTTATCGCGATGTTGCTCGTCAGGAAGAACCATAAATTTTTGTATTATTGTTTATGAAGCTGTTAAATAAAAATCATACGCAATGTTTGATAGCATCAAAATCGAATGAGTATAGCGGTGATCAAATTCTATTACATACATTTATTACAATCGAACGTATGTAAATATATTATTTCATTATGTGTATCAGATACATGACCTATTGATAATGGATTATGGTTAGCATCACATTTATCTATATTCATCATTTATTTTTATCCAACACTTCTCTCATCATGTTTGGCATGCATTTTCCAACTTACTATCGTACTGCTTATACATTTGAAGGTGTGCCTGATGGTGCATATTATGAACGAATATTTGACTTATTTCCTTTGTTACACCCATGTCACCTTCATTCTCCGCGGTGTATACAAAAAGATGGTTCTACCAGTTAATAAAGCTTTCATGCAGATTGAAACAAGATTTTTGAACTTACAATCAATTGTACTTCGAAAATGTTCACTAATCTTTCTGTTACTTTTACTTAAATATCATCGACAATTGCAAGAGCTCAGCTTTAGTCTGAGCAATCCTTTGCTACCCGATAAACATTCACTAATAAATGGTAATCAAAAGTAAGTTTATTTTCTTGAACTCAGAGTAATAATTAAATGCATTTATTCATATTATCGTAAAGGATTATTGTTGCCAGTGAATCATTTCTGAATTGATAATATCCTTTATTTCATTTATGGGTGTGGATGTGGGGTGTGAGTATACTGGTGACGAAAGAAAAGATACACACCCACACTCACATTCTCAAAATTAAATTGATATTCTAATGTGTGAGTAAATCGTAAATGAAGATTAGAGGAAAAAAAGTTTTTTTTCTAATTGTATAGAAGCTGTTGGATGCTCATCCGATCTGAGTCGATGCCTTTTTTCTTTTTTCTTCTGTCGTTGTTGATAAGTTTATTTTCAATCGGAGAAGATATTCAGTTTTGATAAAGCGGAGAAAATAAAATATATTAAGTAAAATGGCTACTTCTTAATTGCGGACAAAATTTCAGCCCTCACCCACACTGTCGGCATGCTAATTGGTTTGATTTTCGTCCGCAATCAAGAAGACACGAAGTAAAATATAGCGAGACAATTAAATGTTTTTCTTTCAAAATAAAAATGACCGACCAAAATAATATTTTCTTTCATTTATTTTTAGTAGATCATTTGAACAACAAAATTTTATTTAAGAAAAAAGTTTTGTAGAAAAAAAATCCGAACGCCTATTCTTGCAAATAATTGCTTGATCATTATTATCATTCAATGATGAATAAACTTGATCTAATTCATTTATTGTTGCATTTCCATATTCTCGAATTATTTTACCATCTTGTTTTATTGTTTTACAATGTTTATCGCCATATATTTTACTTATTGTTTCAGTTTTGTTATTTTCATTTTGATTTGATGATTATTCAATTTATTTTTAACAACGCACCTTTTCGATGGTATGGTTTCTCGTTTCATTGTCGTTATTATAAAAGTTCTCGGAAATGCTCCATTAAGACCTTGTATTTCTATAATAGAATCAAGATTTTCATCATCATGATGTATATTTGCAAACGATATTAATTGAAGAAAATTCATTGTCAGAATAGATTTTTGTTTTGTTTTTGTCTTGAAAATCTTGTTTAACAATCTCATCTGTTAGACCAGTTGATGACTGAGGATTTTCATTGTTAAAATCTTGTGAAGGAATTGAAAATGTAGTTGAGAAATTTTCCAATTGGGAAAAATAAACCATTGAATAGAAAATCATCATCATTATTATCTTTCATGTTAGTTTTTAGAATGAAAATTTATTCCTAGTTGTTCATTTTTTTTAATCTAAATATGAAGAAATCTATAAAACGTATATCTTTCGGCATTTAATTATCTCTTAGTCCTATTGATGACTTCATTCTATAGTGTAATGTCGGTATACCTAGATCATTATAAGCGAATATAATTTCAAGTATATGTGAAACTATTTCCTCTATTTTCTATAATTCAACAAAACGAAACAATTCTATTTTGATAACAATAGATTCGAATCCATAAAGAAGAATCTCATTCGCCAGCTGTGTCCTGGAAGAAACTAACAATCATATAGCATTCAACTTGATAAAATTTGTTATCACGAAGGACGTATATCACATTAACACATATTAGATAGTGCCCAATGTCTTTCGATATAAAACCTAGTGAACAAAAATCAACGCTGCAGTAACATTCATTTCTACGCTTAGGTTTCCACGGTTGTTATTATGAAATGGTGTTCTGACAAGTCAATGTTTCCACCAGCTCGCCTATTTTCGTCATCGCAACATGTATGTGATCAGTGTTGATCATTTACTTCTAGGTAAATTTGTAATGAGCAACTTGCTTTGTCAGTGTGTAGAGTACGGTATTTTGACTGCCTCTACACATCCCATAAGAGAAAGGATCCTCGGAGGAGGACGTTAGGACAACAGATGAATGTTGATAAATTATTAGAGAGTTTAAATCAGAAACCATAGTTATGAACTGCGAGGTTTTAAACAACGAAATGTTTTGAAAAGTTTATAGTCTGCGGAAAACGTGTCATTATAGATTGTGTAAGATTTCTATACGAACGACATAAGATCTTGGAGCATTCACGATCATTTCATAATTGTTTTTAAATGAGGATTTTATAAATTGTATTAGATTCACTAGAAGGATCCTTTCAGATACTGGTAAACAGTGTCGAAAACAAAGAAACTTTGCAAAAGTGTTTATCGCAGTGATCAATATAGAAAATGAGTATCGTATGCTCTTTTCGATAGTACCAGATTCATCTGTGTAACAAAAAGCTTGGATTTATTATTCCTCGAGTATATCCCTAACTGATAGGTAAACTTCGTTTGAAAACAGCATTATTCGAAAACTAATCATAAAAAATACAAAATCTTTTTCAACCGT